AGAAGGAGCCCCACTCCTGAGCCTAACACCCTGCGCCAGGCAGCTGTCAGCCCACGCCGCCGGGCAGGCAGGCCTGGAGGTCACCCCCTCCCCCCACATCGGCCCTACGGGACCCCCTCCCACCGCTTTCCCCTTTCGGGGTGACAGCCGACCCGGGTACTGGGAGGGGCTACGCAGAAATGCCCGCCCCGCCCCCTGGGCGGGGGCTCCAGGCCCCCTCCCGTCTCCCCAGGGCCGCCGTGCGATCTGCCCCTTCGGTGACACCTTCCACCTTCCACGCGGCCGCACCATCTTCTCAAAAAAGTGGATGGTTCCACAACTTGGAGGAACCAGGAAAGGTGCGCCCCCCTCGCCCGCCCCCTGGGGAGTCAGAGAGTAGCCAGGAGAGGCTCCTCCGGGAACGCGGGCTCGCAATGGGCGCTGCCGGCTCGGGCTGGGCGCCTGTCTGGACCCTGGACGGCGCCCCTTTCCCTCCCCAGCGCGGGTGTTTGGAGTCCCACACGGGCGAGGAACGCGGCGGACCCCGAGACCGGACTTTCTGGCGGAGGGGCGCCCACCCTTTCCGTGCGCTCCTCACTCCCTCTCACCCCTCTCCACACCAGAGCCGGGGCTGCTGTCTGAGATCCAGGCCGTGGTTTCTAGCTGGCCACCACCCAGCGCCTGGCGCGGTCGCACAGGTGAGGGGTCTCCAAGGGGCAAAGAGCAAAAAGTGGGGCGGATCGCCTGCCGCGGGAAGGGCTTCTGGCGCCGGCCTTGTCAGCAGGTCGGGAGCAGTCAACATTCATTAAACTGTGGACCACAGGTACAAAAAGCACCAGCTGATCCGTTTGCGGCTGGACCAGCACCCACGCAGGACTCAGGCCAGCACGCGATTTCGGAAAAGCAATCCCACCAGATCTCCTGGCCTTAGGCACACACACCCCTTCTGTTCAGGCAGGCACCAGGCGGGGCTCATGGCAGCCGGGGTGCAAATAATAAAATTACCATCCTAGTCAGGACTGTACGTTGTGGATGTTTGTAGGCAAAAAGGAAAGGTGTGAAAGGGCACATCAGGACAATATTTCTGGGTACCAGGTAGGGCCCGAGAAAGGACCGCTAACTTTTTTATATCCTGTCTCACTGCATGTTGAAGAACAAAACAAGAATTAAGCACTCACCAGCCACCAAACCTGTGCTGGGTGTTACAGTGGTAGCAGGGATAAGGCTCGGCTGTGAGGGTGTCCAGCCAGGTGTGGCAGGGGCCCTTCCCAGTTCGTGCATGGGGTTCTAGGACCATTCCAGGAGCCTGCCACGGCCTGCACTGGAGTCTGTGAAAACGGTGCACCGCCCAGGGGACTGAGCTCAGGGAACTCAGCCCCCATCAGACCAGCTGCAGGGCTCTTGACCCCCACCCGGACTTGACCCAGACGATGGATGCACAGTGTGAGGAGAGGCTGAGCCCGGCCTGCAGGGAGGCAGGAAGAGGGCCTGGGCACGTACCACTCCCCCACCAACCCAACATCCTTGAGGGCGCTGGGTAATTCTGTGATTCCAGATGTTCAGCAGCTGTCGTGGCCATTTCCGCCCCTTCTCTGACCCCACATCCGTCAGGAAGCGTCCCCTCCTGTCCTCAGGCTCTGAGCCAGCCCCCATCTTCCCAGCTCCCCATTTCCTGAGCAGAGGCGTTTGTGCAGGCTCAGCTCCTGTCCCAAGCCCTGGGCCCTGCTCCTGGAGCCTGGGCCGCTGTGGTCAGACCTCCTCTGCCAGGGGCTCTGATCCTGCCCCAGCCCCTCCAGCCTCTAGGACTGGTTTTCTCTCTCTCCATCCCTTCTCCAAGGTCGGCTTCGCAGTCTGCAGCATCAATCTGGGCCTCCAGGGAGACTGAGCAGAGCTGGCCTGGAGGGAGGGTGGGGAGAAGGCCAGAGGTCATAGAGCCCAGCAGGCTCTGTGGGGGTGGGTGCATACTTAGGTGTCTGCCTGCAGAC